CCGTGCCTCGCTCAGCCAGTGAGCGGGAACCGGTCTGTATGTGGGATCCGAACCCTCGGGCGGGAGCGCCGCCGCGCTTCTCAAGCGGCGCATTATCCAGTGCGCCACCGGGCCGGCCCAAGTGGGAGGTTTTACAAATATTTTTCTGATACTTTACGTCGTAGTAAGAAAGAGCAAAGCAGGCAGTTTTCATAAATATTCAGCACAATATAGACAGTGAGNGTAGTAAGAAAGAGCAAAGCAGGCAGTTTTCATAAATATTCAGCACAATATAGACAGTGAGACCCCAGGACAAGCATCCCACAATGCAACAGTATATGCAGAGCAATTCACACACATACCTGGTCACATGACCACACAAAACCTCCACATCACCAACGAAGAATGCCAAAGCTGAATTATGAACTGCATAAACACACTAAAACAGCTTATTGGAGAGTTGTATTAAAAATTCTTAAATGTAAACTAACCTTTGGTTACATATGAATTAGAAGAAAAACAATACCATTAGTGATATGATATGGCTATTAATTCAGAGACTGTGCCTGCACATGCAGACAGGATCATTCCCTTACAAAGGAGCTTGAAAGCTTGAAAGTTGGAAAATATTGTTTTCAAATGAGTTCACAATCATCAGTGCAATGTGAAAATGTAACAATCTCATAGCTCTGTTGGAAATTATGTTTTTACATAAATGAAGAAAAAAAGCCAAAATGTATACACTCAATCTATATCTGTATCTATCCCTGCACTGGGATATTACAAAAGCACGAAATGATTTTCACAGACAAGTTGTAACACACAGGCATAATGAGCTTTTGAATCACCGATACTCACACATAAAAGGGGGCTCAATCGTCAGCAGGTGCTGCAGAAAATCTAGAATGTGAAGCATACGCCGCGGCGTCGTTTTACAATGGTGTTAACAAATGTCAATGTCTTGTGCTGAATGTGAGATGCATACATATGTAGTTAAAAGTGAGTGCTCCTGGTCGTTTTTTTCCCCCTTTCCACCTCCCTCCCATCTACACCTCCCCCAGAAAAGCATCTGCTCTTTACTGGTGTCTATAGCAGTGATTATTAACAAGCATAGAAAAATGTAACTGCAATCTATCTTTTATTCCTTGATCAGGAATTCATCCCACACTTTAGGTTAAGGCAGGTGAATTCTGATTCAGCTCAGTAATTATCTGGCAGATGTTATAAGCAGCTGCTGCTAAGCGCAAAACTCTGGCTATTATTGCAGAAATATAAGAGCTCCTGGCAAGGTGGAGTGAGAAGTGAAACAGAATGCATTTTGGTGAGGTTTCACATCTGGTTTTCCACAGAAAATAATGAAACCTGGAACTTATACTGGCTGTTCTTGAACTCTTGAAATTCAAATTATCTACCCAGGCACGCATGAACACACATACACAAAGTTCCTAGCTAGTCTCATAAATGGCAAAAAAGCAAATCCAGTGCATTGTCTCAATAAGCAATGCTTTCCCTAAAACCAGTTATGTAATTGAACCAGAGTATTTTTCTTTTTTTAATGAGTCCCTACAATACACCCCTCCGCCACCATCCCAGACTAAGCTAGGTTCATAATGAGAAATAAAGAAGAGAAGTGGATGGAGCCTAGATCCAGGCAATGCATTCAAAGCTCAACCAGCCCAAGACAATGTTATGGTTCCATTCAGAATGGAAGGACTAGACTTTCCTTTAGGGAGGATTATTAACATGGCTTTCAAGGTAATTCTAAACCTTTTGCTTCATGAAAGGCAAGTGACAGGAAGGGGACAAGTCCAAAAACACTTCATGCAACATTCTAAGAACATGCTGCTCAGCCCTGGTCAATCTCAAGGGCTATTTCTGGTCTATCATCTAACATCTTTTTCTTAGAAAGGATTACGTAAGAATAATTTTAATTTCTATCATTTAGTCAATGATTCAAGCTGCAACCATCTGAATCAGAGAATTAGTAGGACACTTGAAAAGAAATGTGCCTGTGTGTGTGTGTGTGCACACGTGCATGTGAGAGAAAGATTAATTGACTGGCTGATTGATTTCCAGAAGAGGGAAGGTTGTAGAAATTTCCTTTTTTTTAAAATATAAGCTTCTATCTACAGTACTTTTTACCTCCTGAGATTATAAAGCAATTACTTATGAAGCTAGCTCTCCAGATATCCTTCCAGGTCAAAATAAAGCTGCTGCCTGCATGAATAAGTCCTGAATCAAGTCCTGAATCAGCAGGTGGGGAAACACACACACACACAC